TGCAGCCTGCAGCTATTGGCTGGTGCTTTCAGGGGGGTACCGGCTCTTCGGCCTGCCCCCACACCCATCACTGAAGTGGTGAGCACAGGCTGTCAGAGGGTGCACCTGCACTCTCAGGGGGGGGGGCACGTGCACCCCCATGCACCCTCTACCTGTCTGTCACCACTGACTGGAAAAATTCTTCTTTGCAAGCTTTCAGGTTTGCCCTTGCCCAGGCTGAGGAAGCACCTGCAGTTGGTGTGTGCTCTTCCTGGATGGAAGCAATAGTAAAGGAGCCAAAGGGGAATAAGGGAGACTCTGCAGTCATTCACGGCAGAAAAGAGGCTGTCTGTGCAAAAGGAAAGAGCTGGAAATTTGGAAGACAAAGGGCAGGACCCGCCTAGCTCCTTAGACCAACACGGCTACAACCAAGACCTCAGGCCCTGGAGAAACCCTCGGCAAGCAGATCAAGTCCCACGTTTGGAGGACCTGCAGCTTGGTTTGGCGTGTTCATTTCCTGGCCAAGCACAACGTATTTCCAGAGGCTGAGGCAGAAACGGGGCGCTGGGCGGGTTGCCCGGGACCGGCGTCTCCTACAAGTCCCAGAGTGCCCGGGGAGGGGAAGGAGAGGCGGCCGCAGCTCCTCCCCGTGCGCCGGGGCGGTCCCGGCTGGCAGCCGCGGGAGCGGACGTGGGCGCGGGCGCGGGCGCGGGCGCGCTGGGAGCACGTGTGCGGCTGCGATCTGGGGCCGGGCCGGAGCCATGTTCCTCCAGTACTATCTCAACGAGCAGGGGGACCGGGTGTACACCCTCAAGGTGAGCCCCTGCCGCAGCCCCGGGACCTTTCTCGTCTGCCCTTGATCTGCCCCAAGATCTCTTCCAGCCTCCCGCGCACGTCCTGTGCAGCCGGGGCCGTGTGTCGCTCTGCCCCTGGGTGCAGGGTTTGCATCTCCCTGGTCGGGGCAGGCGGGGGCTGGGGGGAGGCTGGCAGTGGGACAGCCCAGGGCAGGTGGGGCAGGGGGGTTGTGCCCCAGGGCTGGGGTGGGAGCTGGGGGTCAGGATTGAGTAGTCATGGCAGAGTTGTGCCTGTGGAGCTCAGGGCTTGGGGGGGCAGCGAGTTGGGGGTTGAGTGACATGCCCTCTCCACCTGGGTGGAGGCTCAGAGCTGGGAGAGGAGGTGGCAGTGAGCGAAGCACAAAAGTGGAGCTGTGGGGGGTGGGGACGTCAGGGTGGCCAGACTTGGGTATTTGTATTTTAGGACCCAGTTGCCATGATCTAGTATGATCTCTTTCCATTTCCTTCCCTGTAGAAAGTAAGCCCCTCTGGCCAGGTGACTTCCTCTGCACATCCCGCCCGCTTCTCCCCAGATGACAAATACTCCCGCCACCGGGTCACCATCAAGAAGCGCTTTGGCGTCCTCATGACACAGCAGCCGCGGCCCATTATGTGAGGGCAGGCCTTTTCCCAGTTGGAAGCACAGAAACGTGTCCCGGACTGCCCTGAAATGAGACAGTCCTGCTCAGCTGAAACTGGCTCGTGGCTCCCTCTGCACCAACTCATCTTCCACTCCTTTGTTTATCCCTCTCCTTGTGATCTGACTGCTGATCCTAAACACATCCTAAAACCTTTCCCCATTCTCCTCTTGTCTATGGAAAAACTGCTTTGATTCCCCTTTTGATCAAGCCAGAGTTAATCACTGTAGTTGAAAACATGGTTTGTCTTTTGATTGCCAATAAATTATCTGATGTTTATTTCTACCCTTAGCCCAGACTCTCCTTCCCTGCTGAGCTTTTAACCCTCTAGTAGTGGTGAAGCTGTACTCATTTTTTCATGCTGTGCAGATGTTCATGTTGTGTTAGGAACTTAAGCATAACAAGGGAAGGTTTCTGACTAAGCTTTCATTGTTTTAGCAGGGAAGCATATTCATCATATTAGAAATGTGAGATGGCCTTTATTAGATTGTAGGGGAAAGCTGCATTCAGGGTCTGATATGGGATCAGGTGGTTGGGCCGCGTGGCAGGAAAGGTGGAGAAGATTCTACGAAGTAAAAGAGAGGAGACTGCAAGCTTGATGGAAGACAATAAGCTTGAGTCTCTGCTGCTCGATTTGAGAGGGAAAGATACTGAATGCTAGTATCCCAGCACTGCACCACTCAGCTGCTTAGCTTGGCATTCAGGACTGGCATCGGTAGTGTAACTAAAGCACCCACTTAAGGAGTGCAGAAATAATACTTACCACAGATGCTGGCCCGCCATGCCACCAGCAGCCTAGCCGCTGTCTTTGACTTGTGCATTGCTGGTGCCCAAGGTGTCACACCCATGATAACTCTGGGGGCTCTTGTTTATCCAGAGAAATATAAGACAAGCCAAAGCAAGTTCCTTTGAATGATGCACCAGTTTATTGGGGTATTATCAACCCATCAAAATTACTAATAGTGGCTATATGCAGCAGAAAATACATAGATATACTCAGTACTAAGCAGCGAGCTCTGAGGGCCCTCAGAATCCATCCTCATAGTTGGGGCAAGTTCCAGTTTCCCACACAAATGCCTTTGTGTGGAGGAGTTTTATACAGTTCAGATTCAAAATTCTGTATTCCTGCCCACTTCTCTGCGATAACTGTCTTGGCCAGTCACGTAGGGAGCAAGGAAGCTCTGAGTCCTGACCTGTGACTGCTGTTCTTACCTGGAGTCATCACTTGGTGTTATCACCTGCCTAGATATCTCAAGTGTAAGAGTGATGTAGCTGTGACGGTCCAGAAGTTATGCGAAAGGCAAGGATTTCTTAGGGTGAGATCTTTTATTGGACCAATTAAAGATCTCATCTTAAGAAATCCCTGTCTTTTGCATAGCTATCTCAACACACTTAAAACTATCCCGTTTCTCACATACTAATCACTGATTCAGACTGGACTGCTTTTGGGATCAGTCTACCCGGAGAAGGAATGTCATGAGACCCAGCGCTGGGCAGTTTGGGGCCTCGGGGCTCTCCAACAAAAGTGCAGGGCTACCCTGTTAACACCTCTGTTTGCTGTGACCTATTTGGGACTGCCAGCACTTGAGGCTTCTGTACTCATTGCTATAACATGTGGGTTTTTATTTCCACGTTTTCCCTTTAACCTGGGATTAGAAATGGCTGAAAAGGCCATTTTATGCAGCACTGAGAGAGATTAAATTGGAGTTTACTGAATCAATGTCCATTCATTTGTGGCTGATGAAAGAATGTTGTATGGGCAGAGTTTGGAACAGAACCCAGTCAGCTGTCCTGATGCTGCTTTAACCACTAGATATTACTCCCCTGCTAGAGCCAGCCATAAAATCTAGGTGTGCCCTCCCAGGTCCCTGCCCTGACGTGTCAGAGGCTCATCCCACAGCATGGGCTGCAGCCTAGGAGTCATGACTTCTGGACCCCAGCAGTAACTACTAACTAGATACTGCTTCCCTACCACAGCTTGGAATGCAATTATAATCCTTCTTCCCACTTCTATCTTTTCCTTTTAGCTGCAAATCAGCTCTACTCATTTCAGAGACAGCAGGGAGTTCAGCATACTTTCACTGAAGTATGTGATGGATAAAGGTCACTGAAAGTTTGGGCTGTGCCTACCACCCAGAGGCCTCTTAAAGAGCCTAGCACTGTCAGATCTGTGCCAAAGAGGGAGTCCAAGGCTCAGAGATCATCCTGCTTGTGGGATGGGATTGGCGAGTATTGGCAGAGCTGGGAGTGCTGGTGGGAAGCATCAGCTTGCAAGAGCAGGACTGGGGTTGAGTGGCGCTGGCAGGGCTGCAGGCTGGGGGAACCCAGGATTGGGATCGAAGGCTATCAGCAGAGCTGCTCCGGGGTGACAGCAAACAGCCGGATGAGGATACTGCTATTTGTGCTCTCTGATGATGCCTCCTTCCTGATCCCCATGTTGCTTTTCCTGATCTGTAGGCCTTGGGAGTGTTCCCTGGGAGTCCATGCCTGGCTCACTAGTGTCATAATTTATACAGACGGGGATGTTCATTAACCTGAACGACAGAAATCCTGGGCCTGCCGCGCAGGCGCCAGCACCTGGGACTCAGCCGGGCCCAGGGCGGCAGACAGGCAGGTGCCTGGTTTGCAAGCGCAGATATCAGCTGTCGCCTCAGAAGAGTCCCAGGACTCTTTGTCAGAGCCTTTGGCCTTTGTCAGAGCAGGTGGACACAGAGCAGGGACAGCCACGCTCTGCGGGACACAGGGCCACTGGTCCGACATGGAGGCCCCAGGGCCTTGGCCAGGTGCCACACGCAGCCTTCTGCCCCGGGATCATGAAGGGAAGGGCGCTGAGCTGCGCCCCTACCCCTCATTGCTCCCCACTCCTCTACGTCATCGCTCTTCCCGCTGAGGCTGACCTCAATGGGAGGCTAAAGGACATCATGAGTCCTTCCGGTCACGAACTACAACTCCCAGCGGCCCCCGCGGGCTGCCCCGCCCCGCCCCTTCGAGCCGGTGCCTGCGCGTGCGCGTGCGCATGCGCCGTGGCGGGCGGGAGGGGGAAGTGCGACTCCCCTAGCCACGGAGCCCTTGCACCCGGCAGCCTCCTCTTCTCCATCCTCCCCGGGCGCGGCATCCGGGAGCAGCCGCCGGCCCGAGGTAAACGACCGCGGCCCCTAACAGCCTTTCCCGCCTTTTTGGGGGGGGCCCTATTCAGGGGTACAGGGTTGGTGCGCATGCGCAGCTGAGCGTTCTCACCCCCCTCCCGTTCCCCTAATTTAGTGGCAGGCTGCGCATGCGCAACTTGTCGCCCCCTCAATGGCAGGTGCCTGTCTCTCCCCATTACAGAGCAGCACCTGCGGCATCCCTTGCAAGGCCATGTGCTGCCATGGATCCCCTTGCCGCCACTGTCTGGCCCCTGCAGCAGGCCCACATGGCAGGACAGTGTTGGCCCCAGGCTTAATGCTGCCCCACCCCCCTGCCCTGCCCTGCCCTGCCCTGCCACGCCACCTTGACCCTTGCTTGGCTTGGCAATCCTTGGGCTGCCCCAGTTTGCTGTAGCAATGGCACTGAGCTTGGAGGGGGCGTGCACATCCCAATACTGTGGGCTAGTGTGGGTGAGGCCTTGTCTGGTGTCTCCTTGGACCGAGCGCTCTTTAATAGCAACCTTCTTGTCCTATGACCCTAGGGAAAATCCAGCTGCGTTAACCTTGGGAGCTGGTGGAACTGGAGCATCATTGAGTCACGGGGACCTCGTGGGCATTGCGTGGAAGAGTTTTTGCCCGGCGGGAGGATATTCAGCTGCCAGAGCCCTGAGGGATGGTGGCAGTCCTACTCCAGGACTTGGGATATTCAACCTTCAAGCACACTTTTTTGGTGCATCCAAAGTGCAAGGTGTATTAGCACAGAGTGTATGCGCTTTGGAACCTGCTGGCGTACTCGCTGTCCTTGCTCGCCACACCAGAAATCGGTCAGTGATTCTCCTCCTCGTGCTCGGATCACTTGGTTTGCTTGGTCTCTTCGCACATTTTGCACCGGGACTTGGTGAAACCTCTTGTCTTTTTTTGCACTTTCACATGTTTCTAACCAATGGACCCCTCTTCAAACCAAATCCCCTTTTGGATATTTACCCAAAAAATAATTATTTGCATCAGGACGTGAAAGTTTCTTCTTGCCTGTTTTGGCACTGGAAGTCTGCAGAGTAGTAATAGTAACGGATTATCTGTGCAAACAGTTTCAAATCAGGAACTCTGACAAACAGCTCACTGAGTGAATCAGATAGCTGTTGATTTATTTACTGGGTAAACCATGGGTCAAGCCCTGCACTCCCTTCTTAGCCACACCCATGGAAAATTCACTTGATAATCAAGAGGTGTCTGGACACCACATAGTAGCAGATCACAGGAGATCCATGGTAGACATGCATTTGCTGTATGGTGGAACTTCCTGTTATGCAGTTCATTTTGCTACCTTCTTAAATTATCACTTCTTTTTTATTTATTAAGATTTCTGGATGATCATAATTTTAACATTTCCAGGAATGTATTAGATTGTTCCACCACTCATAATTTTAACATTTCCAGGAATGTATTACCTTGTTCCACCCCCCTCCCAACAACACCAACACAGTAGCTACACAATGGCTTCTGTCCGGTTCATGGTGACCCCTACGAAAATCGATGACATCCCAGGCCTCTCTGATACCAGCCCTGACCTCAGCTCCCGCTCTAGCTCCCGGGTTCGCTTCAGCTCCCGGGAGAGTGTTCCTGAGACAACCCGGAGTGAGGGCATGAGTGACTTCTCTGTAGCGACTACGTCACTGGCTACGGTAGCAGCTGATCCAGCTAGTGATAAGATATCCAACCCTCGTGATGTGACAGAAGGTAAGAAGGATGTAGATGTTGATGTATGCGAATGAGGGGACTGAAAGTTATGGATGGTATTAATGCTTCTGGGTTGGCTTGGGCTTCTGTTGGAAGTTAGAGGGAGACTGCTTCTGTATTAATTAGCAGTAAAGGAGGATGTTCTGTGGGGATGTAGAATCCGTCCACCTCAGTTTGTGCATACATTGCAAGTGGAGGCATGTGTTTTATGATAGCAGTGGAGATTGATTAACAGCTCCACCTTTAGTACATCCATTTGCTAGTTATTTTGTGGGCCCTTTGGAAATAGCAGACCTCTTCCAGCTACACTAGGGCCACTTCTTGGTATGTTGGAAATGCAGTGAGCTCTTTTAGAGCTTTGGGGTTGTATCCATTTGAACTGATGGCTGCTTTAGAGTTGATCACATTTAGGGTGGATGGTATGTTGCTATGACTGTTCTCCATAGGTAGTGGCATCTCACCAGATCTTCTGGCCGCATGGAAACTCCTGGAATATCATGGAAGACCAAAATACTTGCGTTAAAGGCCAGGCTGGCACTGTGTTTTTGTGTTTCCTGGGAATGGGTGCCCACTTAGAGCTTTTCAGTTTTATTAGTGAGGTGACGCCCAGCTTGAAGATAGAAATAGCCATGTGAAGTCTGCATTTTCAATGCATTTGTGGTGTTGACTCTGAACAGCTAAACTTGGTTCTGCTTTTCTTCAGACTCTTTTCCTATATTGGGAAATGCTGTATAAAGCCCGGGGGAAATGACTTAGGGGAATCTCGTTTCCTGTAATTGTGTTGACTTCCTTTTTATTGAAAATCTAGCCATAACTCGCTGCTAAGAGTCATGGCTTCTATTGGGACTTTTAGATAAAAGTTATGAGTTGGGGTTTTTTTAGCTATTAATCCTGAGTCTTAATTAGTCACTGTGGTTGCCATAATGATACTGCAGGTAGATGAGTGCCTCTTTTTGGTGTTAAAGAATATGTACAATGAAATGCATCTGTCCTCTTAGGTGGGCCAGCAGCGTAACAGCAGCATTATATGCGGGTAGTTCCAAAATGTGGAAATCAGGAATGAGGCAGGGCAACTGGTCTATCAGTCACATTACCTTGGGTACATCTACCAGGGATGTGGATCATCACACTGACATGGTTATACTGTGTCTAGCACCCAAGCTGACCTGCTACTGCCCTGTCCCGTGCAAACCTGAAAGAAAGCAAAGGAGAACTCTGTGTTGCATTGAAACTGTAAAGTGGGATTTAGGGGAAGCAGAGGTGGGTCTTTAGACCTGGGGCACTCTGGCCAAAGTGTCAGGAGGTCTTCTACAGTGGTCACAAGCATTTGGGTCCTCATTTACACATTTTTCCTTGTGCCACAGAGGGAACAGTAGGGTCATCTCTGACTGAGACAATGGTAACACTGAGCTGTCTTTTGCTGTTTCTTTTTCTCCTTGAGCAAGCCAGTTCTGCTGTTGGGCTGCAGTCAGTTCTCCCAGAGTAGAAGGACTTTGTAAATGATTTTTTGCCTTATGAACCAGTAACTTTCACTTCCCAGGGACCAGGTTGGAGCCAGCATCCCATAAAGGGGAAAGTTCCATATCCCAATCCAAATCAATACTTTCCCTGCCCCCTCATTTGTCATCTTTTTGAACTAGCTCTTGTTTTCCACTTCTGGACTGAACTGGAGTCATCAACTCACAAAAGGAGAAGTCCTGTGTTCAGACTAATGGCATCTTAGTGACTAGGAAATGTGAGAGGCAGGGATTTTTGTGGGGGATATTGATTATTGCACCAACTCCATGGTTGGGGTAGACTTAGACAGGCTTTTGAATGCTGCACAGTACACTTGAAGGGAGGGTATTGGCTAATGTGGTCAGGCCTGTGTCCTTTCAGTGTTCAGCTGGGCTGAGAGCAGAAGGTGCCCTTTGTGCTTTTACATATTACATTCCCTTGCCCTATTGTCTTGTCATCCCTTCCTCCCTCCCCCCCCCCACGCTTTTTGCTGAGGCTGCCTCATTACAAAAGTCTGATCTTCAGCCTGATGCAGTCTGCTTGTCTCTGTCTAACCACACCACTTCCTGTTTTGAAAGCTTTGTCACAGTTTTCTTCAATGTTTGTGATCAAGGACCTAAGGTGATTGTCCTTGGGTTAGGAAGGGACAGTTAATTGGTTTGTGGATGTTGTTATTCTCCAACTCAATCTGCTCATCATGGGTGCAAATGCATTCTCTTCTTTAAGTGATTGTCCTGTGTGGGTTTCTTAATTCTGTCCCCCCACCCCATGCACATAGAGGTGGGGATGCACATTTGCAGTGCTTGTAACACTCACAATTATACATTAAGATAGTGCCTGTAATCTTATCTTATGCTTTGGGGCTTCGGCCAGTCATCTGCAGGAATCGTGAAGAATTTGTTTCCCCTGATGCACAACCGTGCATAGAGGTCTTCTGAATTCTGGAGGGGGGATGTCCTTCTTTCCACTGCTTCAGGGAAAGGTAGATCTGCTACAGTAGGATGTGGGATATTGGGCTGAAGCGTTGGAGGGAATCTACGTTCTGTGATGCCTGTCTTTGCTGTCTTGCTCAGGGACATATTTTGGGGTGGAAGGGAGTCTTTTTCCCCCATGGCAGTTTGAAAAACATTTTGGGAAAGGTATTTAGTTTTACTTGCAGTCTAGGGTGTGAATCGCTTCTGCCAAGATTATCTTCCATATCTCCCCTGATTAATTTCCAGCCTTCTCAAAGGGGCTTTGGAATTGGTGGCACTGTTCTTTGTCTGGAGCACACATTGTAGTCTCCTGAGTAGAGGTGAGTGTCTTTCTAAATCTATAGACTTGGCATAGGGGTGAAATGTGATGACTTCTGTTTTAGAGGCAATCAGACTAGGAGATCTTGTGGTTCCTTCTGGCCTTAGAGACTTTAAACAGCATCAGGATATTATCCCCAACTTTCAAATACAGCAAGCTGGAAGTTGTGGCAACCATGTTCTTCACAGGGATCCTTTTAGTTGTCATCAGTGCCTTGTGATGCAACAAAGCTGCTGCTGTGGGAACTGGAGAAGATGCATGTGTGAATATGCATGCCCTGAAGGGAGACCAAATCACATACGCAGTCTGTACTTCAGAGACATTATATCTCTTGTACTTCTGTTGAAATCCCTTGTATTTATCTCTCTCAATATGGCAGCTGTGCATTTTCAGCTACCATTTATTTTTGAAGAGCAGTAGAGAAAGGGGGAGAAGTGATATTCCTGTGCCTTAGATTCAGACATTTGAGGCAAGCTCTGACTTTCCTAAACATGTATGTGAGGCTGCCTTGGGAGGCTTGCTTTTTTTTTTAAACCTGCTTGCAAACAGACACATACCAAAGGCCTACATGATCCTAAATGTATCCACATATCCATGCAATTCTGTGCATGGAGAACTGAGTTAAGCCTAAGATGAGGCCCCAGACCCTGGTGTGTGCTTCCTTCAGTGCTGAGCTGTCTCATCTATCCTCATTTTTTTTCTGTCCCATTCCATAATACTCGCTTTGATCCCATAATGAATATCCATTTGCTTCCCTCATCTATACTTTTATTCCTTGCTCTTCCTGTGGCTGGAGCTAAGAGAGTAACAAGCCTTCTCATTGTGAGTGCCTTGCCAAATTCCCTTGATGCTGGGTGATAGATTTGTCCCTTTTGTGGGAGCTCTTACCCGGATGGCATTTGGACTTGGTTATAGGGAGCATTGACCTTACGCTGGCTTATCCACCCAAACCAGGTGAGTTTATCCTTTCCAGGTTGTGAACAGAATGGAGTTAGGTCACCCTGACTTGCTTACAACACTACCTGTTTCCCCTCTTTTGCAGTTGGTGGGTGAGCCTGGATTCCTATCTAGGATGGGATTATTGAGATCGAAGTCTGACCATAAAATTATCACTGTTGGTAGATTATGTGATCTTCTACCTGGCTAATACGGATTAGATTCTAGCTGTAACTCTAGGAAGGGCCCTATATGAGTGTCGCCACAGTGGTGATCATAACTCCAGTTCTGTGCCCCAGTGTAGTTTCATAGTTGATGGGGTCAGAAGGGACCTGAGCAGATCATCAAGTCCAACCCCCTGCCATGGGCAGGAAAGAATGCTGGGGTCAAACGACCCCGGCTAGGTGTCTATCTAGCCTACTTTTGAAGACCCCCAGAGTAGGAATGAGCACCACTTCCCTTGGAAGTTGGTTCCGGATCGTAGCTGCCCTGACTGTGAAGTAGCACCTCCTTATGTCTAGCCTGAATCCACTGTCCGTCAACTTATGGCCATTATTCCTTGTTACTCTCAGTAGTGCTCGGGGAAACAGGGACTCTCCCATTGCCTGCTGGTCCCTGTTGGCCAGTTTGTAGATGAAGACCAGATCTCCTCTCAGCCTTCTCTTGTGGAAGCTGAACAGGTTCAGGTCTTGTAGCCGCTCCTCATAGGGCCTGCCCTGCTGCCCCCTGATCACGCGAGTGGCCCTCCTCTGGACCCTCTCCATGTTGTCCACATCCCTCCTGAAGTGTGGCGCCCAGAACTGGACGCAGTACTCTAACTGCGGCCTGACCAGTGTCGCATAGAGGGGGAGGATCACCTCCCTGGACCTGCTCATGATGCATCTATGGATGCATGGCAAGGTGCGGTTAGCCTTCCTGACTGCGTCCCCACATTGGTGACCAATGTTCATCTTGGAGTCTATAATGACTCCAACATCCTCTTCTGCCTCTCTGCTGATGAGAAAGGAGTTCACCAGCCTGTAGGTATGCTGCTGGTTCTTTCTCCGTAGGTGCAGTACCCTGCACTTGGCAGTATTGAGTCCCATCTTATTCTCATCCGCCCACCTCTGTAACCTGTCCAGATCCAGTTGTATCCTGTCCCTCCCTTCTAGTGTGCCCACTTCTCCCCACATCTTAGTGTCATCCGCGAACTTGAACAAGGTGCTTTTCACCCCCTCGTCCAAGTTGCTGATGAAGATGTTGAACAGTGTGGGCCCGAGGACTGAGCCCTGGGG